AGCTAATTGAATAGAAAAAAATCTTTAAGCCTTTGAAAGCCCTCGTGCACATGGGAGCAGGAAGGTACCAGGAGTGAAATCCAAATCAGATCACATCCTTGCATAGATTTCAGCCAAGGAGTGAAGGAAAGAGAAGGCATTAAGTTGAGGAGAATGAAATATCCTTAAGCCCTTTACCCAAATATTTGCTGGCTCAAGGAAAGATGTTCTAGGGCAGGGGTCAGCAAACTTTTTCAGCAGGGGGCTGGTCCACTGTCCCTCAGACCTTGGGGTGGGGGCAGACTATATTTTGGAAAGAAAAAAATGAACGAAGTCCTATTGCCCACAAATAACCCAGAGATGCATTTTAAATAAAAGGACACATTCTACTCATGTAAAAACACGCTGATTCCTGGACCGTCCGTGGGCTGGATTTAGAAGGCGATTCAGCCGGATCTGGCCCCCGGGCCCTAGTTTGCCTACCTATGTTCTAGGGATACTGTAGAATAGAGAGGGTGAAAACAGATTCCTCAGTTTTAAGGAAATTTAGTCTGGTGGTAGAATGTTCCCTGCTCCTGTTCTAAGGAGTAAACAAGCTGAGTCTTCCGGGCCAAATCCAGTTCCCTGTGAAATGCCTTCAGGCTACTCAGTTGCTGACCTAGTGCCAAAAGTGATAGGGAGAAAGAGGTGTCTTTTGAACTTTCAGGCAGATGACTGTGGTTGTGGAATACAAAGCGCCCCACCTCCTCCTTGTATTAGGAAGGTGCTCTGCAAGAAAACTAGTGGCTAACAAGGGTTATTCAAACTCTGTGTAGATAACGACTACTACTACTACTACTAATAATAATAATAATAAAAAAATAATTTTATTTATATCCCGCCCTCCCCAGCCGAAGCCGGGCTCAGAGCAGCTAACAACAGTAAAATGATACAACATCCTAAAATCATTTCATTATAAAATCAGTTCAAATCAGATTAATGGCAACCATTGGGCTAGAGTTCTGTGAAGATTGCCAAAGGAGGGAGTCAGGCTGTGCCCTTTCCAAAGGTCTGGTGGAACAGCTCTGTCTTGCAGACCCTGCAGAAAGATGTCAAGTCCTGCAGGGCCCTAGTCTCTTGTGACAGAGCGTTCCACCAGATTGGAGCCACAGCTGAAAAAGCCCTGGCTCTGGTTGAGGCCAGCCTAACCTCTCTGTGGTCCGGGATCTCCAAGATGTTTTTGTTTGAAGACCGTAAGGTCCTCTGTGGGACATACCTGGAGAGGCGGTCCCGTAGGTACGAGGGTCCTAGGCCGTATAGGGCTTTAAAGGTTAAAACCAGCACTTTAAACCCCATCCTGTACTCCACCGGGAGCCAGTGCAGCTGGTATAGCACTATGTGAATGTGATAACAATTGGCTTTTTGATTATTGTTCAGAATATACATTGCAAATCATTATAGTTATTCATCTGCAAGACTTGCTAAACATTTTAAAGTATTATTTTCTACATGCATTTAGGAAATCAAAACAGAGGGTTATGGATGTGTATTGCATTCTTAAGCCTTGTCCTGAAGGGTATTAATTTTTAAATATGAAACACTCTCAATGAGATTGCATCAGAAAGGAGACCTTGCTGTGCCAGACTGGGGTGATATACAACTGCATTTTGTTTTGTTTTTCACGGAATGTACTTCTCATCATGGTTTGTTTTGCTCATCAGCAATATAAAATGAACTTTTGCTAGGATACAGAGCTTATTATTGGAAAGTTTGCTTACTGTGATATGTCAAAAAGTTCTCTTGAAAGTGAAAAAACCAAAAATTCTTACATAGTCTATAAAAAAAAAACTGCAAGGCGTCATAATATTCCTGAGGCACCACTTTATTTTCAAACTGAAGACTGTAAAAATAAGGATTCTGATCCAATCTGACATTAAAAAATAGGCAAAAGTATGAATGTTTGGATCAGTGGCTTGGGGTAAAGAAGATGCCATTTTGACAGAAGTAGGTTTGTTCCTTCTGAAACATATTTCTCCATCCTAAAAATCAAGTCTAATGGTTTCCCATAATGATATTTAAGAATTGCAAAGAATAAGCATATGAAAAAGCACATTAGGCTAGTCTGACAGTTCATGAAATAAAATGAGATGTGATTTCCTCCCCTCCCCCCCAAACTGACTGTTTTTCTTGGGACCACTTTTCTATATTGGTATGAAACTAGTATTACTTAAAGAATATAAATATATATATACAGTATCCTGGATAAAGTTTTTGCTAAACGCTGGACAATGAAATAAATTGTCTGATAAATCGTTCTAATCATATTAGTTAATTAACTCTCTCCAGTAAGAGATTGTGCCATTTATGTCCTATTGAAATCAACAGCAGTACCAGATTTAGGGTGGTGTGGGTGGTTCCCCCGCACAGGGCACTCAGTGAGGGGGCACAAAATTGAGAAGCCCCATTTGAGGGTACCAAGTTTTGGCCTTGCACAGGGTGCTATAGTATGAAAGATTACCCAAGTCTACCCCTATCATTAGGACAAATATCCGTGACTAATGTGAGTTCCATTGATAACCAAAGGACTTTGGTAGGACCACCTTAGGTGGAAGGGGGTGTTAATGGGTTCTTTTTCTTTTTCTTTGGATGATGCATTTTGTGTTTTTATATTGTGATTTTATCTTGGGAACCACCCTGAGACCTGCAAGTATAGGGCTGTACACAAATTTAACAAATAATAATAATAATAATAATAATAATAATAATAATAATAATAATTTTACAGCTGTCAGTATTTCTCATTTACTGGGCTGAGATGGCTCTTCCATACAAACAATCTAATAACAAATAAATGTTTTATTTATCAGGATGGATTAAATGATTTATTTATTAGGATGTCCATTTTTATTATATGGCTAATCCTGCAGCCCCTATGAGTATAAATCATTTAATGCAATGATGACTAAAGTGTGCCTGAGATTTTTTACACTTTAAACCTATTTATTCATTTAAAACACTTAGATACCACTTAATTTCCAAGCAGTGTACATAACAACAAGAAAATGGGGCAATAAAAAGTATCATAAAACCCAACACTACCTTAAAAGGAGAAGGTTAAGCCCCCGAAGTTCAGCAAGGAGAATGCCTGTCTAATCTCATTTGGAAGGGAGATCCATGGTTTGGGGCCACTACACTGATTGCACTGACTGTGGAAAGCAATTCTCTCTTGCGTGCAAAGAGAAATAGAATGGCCACTTGGTTGTTACAGATCCTGCTTTCCCCCAGAGTACCATGAATGTGGATTGATCGAAGAGGCAGCCCACACAACAAACTGCATCACAGCTTCTACGACACCTCAGTTCCTTAGCTCCTACTCTTCACCCTCCTTCCTCAGCCTCCAAATTAAAACCTTCAATTAGCCTGCATTTAGAAGCAGTCTCATTTCCATTCCCAATAAACTGCCGTGCATTATTCAAATGACATTTAAGAGGGCTTTCAATATAGGTTAGACGTATACAAACAGAGAAACTGGGTGGATCCTATGCAACATAATAACATAACACATAACGACATGCCGAAGTTTGTGTTTGACTGTCATACCAATAACAGTCTGTTAATTCCACATCCCCACCAAAGAAAATCTAGTCTCTGCATGTAACAAATTCCCTCTTCAAGTTTTCATTTGTTGTAAGCTTATACACTTGTCCAACTGACTCATGTCTATGGGAAAGGGGTAGCAGAGAAAGAAGGCGGAGAGGGAGGGAGGGAGAGGGAGTCCTGGTTGGTGCATGTGCACACACTTCTAGATGTCAATGGGTCTGTTTTAAATATGACTTCGATCTAGATCCAGCCCTATGTGTTGCACAAGGGGAATGGAATAATTGCTTTAGCTTATGAAAATATATTTGATGCAGAAAAACACGCAGCCGATCAATTTAAATAGGAAAAGAAAATATAGCAATATCAGACCCTCCACATGTCCCTATTTTCCAAGGACAGTCCCGGATTTACAGAAACCATTGTGGTTTCTGATTTGATCCTGGAATGTCCTGCTTTTCCTTAGGATGTCCCTATTTTCATTGGAGAAATTTTGAAGGGTATGGAGTTATGCAACCCCTGAGTCAAGGAGATAAGAAACTATGCAACCTTTAGAAGACATTTGAAGGCAGCCCTGTACAGTGGAACCTCAGGTTAAGAACTTAATTCATTCCAGAGATCTGTTCTTAACCTGAAACTGTTCTTAACCTGAAGCACCACTTTAGCTAATGGGGCCTCCTGCTGCCGCCACGCCACTGCTGCGCGATTTCTGTTCTCATCCTGAAGCAAAGTTCTTAAACCGAGGTACTATTTCTGGGTTAGCGGAGTCTGTAACCTGAAGCTTCTGTAACCTGAGGTACCACTGTATAGGCAAGTTTCTTAAAATGTTTAATTATGTTTTTATATATGTTGGAAGCCACCCAGAGTGGTTGGGACAACCCAGTCAGATGGGCGAAGTATAATAATAATAATAATAATAATAATAATAATAATAATGGAATAGGACATCCCTATTTTCATCAGAGAAATGTTGGAGGGTATGCAATACACAACTTCAACGATTGTGCCCAGATGGCATCCTTCTGTGTGCCCAGTTAGGCTGGGTAACACGAGTGAAATATCAAAAGGGTCAGAGAGTAGGCAGGTGTGGCATATGCTCCACAATACCTTGCATCAATCTCTATCAGATCAGGAGCTCTGGACTGCAGAACCTGGAAGCATTAAACATGCCTCCAACACCTGTAGTTAGAGCTTTCTGTAAGTGCCTTAAGTGACAAAGGCAGGCAACCCTCTGAGGGAATGCAAAACAGAAGGGCAATGGACTAGAAGCCGAAATGAGAGGCACACACAGCTAGGCTCTCATTAGCAAAAGGAATGGGTGCAATAAACCAGTTCAGAATGAAAAACATTTGCTAGGGAAGGATGGGGCATGAGAGGTGACTGTAACAGTAGGATGTTTACTTCCAAGTTTGTACTTTTCCTTTGCAAGATGCAGACTCATCTGATTAAGGCACGAAATGTTGCAGCCTTTGCCCAATTTTCTGTGGAAAAGAAACATTGTTTTCACACTTTTTAGAAAGAGCAGTAAAGCATTTTGCAACTGCTCCAGTTCTTGTTTCCAAAAAAAGAAAGCCCTATGTCAGTTTTCCCAAAACATCTCGCTTTTCCGAAAAACATCATTACCGCAAAGCAGCCTTGTTTGCTTTTTAAATACCTGTAACTCTGTACTTCTCAGCTGATCTTCAACTAGATTGAGAGGTTTCTTCCACCTTTGTGTTTTATGTGCCTAGTGGTGTGCTTTCTTCCAGTTTCTGGACACGGCCTGTAGTACTTATGCGGGTTGTGCTTGTTCTCTTGTAGATTAGATCAGAATATGGGATGGTTATCAAAAGCTAAGTGGGATGACCTGCTATTACATCATCCAAGAATTACATCGCTTCCCCAATTGCAGGTAGAATCTACAACACATACAAAAACCATTCTGAAATTTTGTTATTTTTTTTTGCTTTTCTGGGGAGTTGACTAGGGGTCTCCCAACAACTCTCAGCACCCTTAACGAACTGCATCTCCCAGAATTCTTTGGGGGAAGCCATGACTGCTTAAAGTGATATCACAGCACTTTTACATGTAGGGTGTGAATGTGGCCTAAATTCTCAAGATCCAACCTTTAAAAAAACACACCAAAACATTAGCAAAAGGATGTGGAAATGTGGTGAACTGAAGCTAAGCCTGGAAATGGAAACCGAGAAAAAATTGACAGATTCATCTTTCCTTAGGCAGAAAGTTAAGAGAGAAGAGAGCCTCTTGAGAGATATTATATTTATATTATATATTATATATTTATACATGGAAAAAGTGTGTTCTTTTCTGCTATATGTGATTGACAAGTGCTGATGACATAGAACAAATATTTTTATTATTGGGGGAGGGAAAAGACATAGCGTAAAGGATATTTAATTTTGGGTACCACAGATGGATCTCTGCTGGGAAAGATTTAAAAGGTAGCTGGCAGAAGCAGTATTAAGTGAGCTCTTCCACTACTTTTCCTTACAATTCCCCTGTTGTCATTCATGGATTAAGGAAGCACACAATTATTTTGGCCTTCTCTTCCTCTTAATGTTAACCAGTATCAGCCCCCAAAATGAAGGTGATGGAGAAGAGAGATCAAGTCTGTGGTGGCAGCAGTGTTCTGAGAAGTCTGCTGCTCTGTTTCTGATCGTTGCCCCTCAGTTTTAGGAAAGGTTCGGGATTAGAGGTGGAGGCTGCAAGGAAAGTGATTACTCAAAAATTTGGTTTCTTCCTGAAGGACAAAACCAAAAACACAAGCAATGGGAAAGAATTCCACCTTTAACTATCAGCCCTTTGTATAACCTGATGAACTGAATAGCTCATCTAGCTAAGCTAGTTTAGTCCTACAAAAGGTAAATTCCTTGCTCTTCTCAATGATGTAGACATGGAATACTGACATGCACTTAATGGCTCCTTCAGAACTGGATTTTTCAATTACTTGCATGATGCTTCCATTACCAGTCAGAGTGCAAAGAGTGTATTTTAAAAAAGCAAAGCTAAAAAGATCAGCTCGCCAGGGAGTCTGGAAAAGAGAGCAGATGACTAAGATACTCGCTGAAAGCGTCATTTGCCAGAATGCACTTTGTTGCAGTTTTTCATTTTCTTTTTTGTAGGACTTCAGGATGGACCTTCAATGAGATATTTTGAGTTTGGGGAACAGTGACAATTACACTTTGACTCATCTACCGAGCAGCCGTTTACAAAGAAGTTCCCTAATCATTCTTGGAAAGTTATGACCTATATATGACTGTTGGTCATTTGGCTCATATTTGGCTACTATTGGGTTTTACCTTATCCAACAAATTTAAAGGTATTTAATTGGTTGATGAGATATAAGACAAGAGCTTTTCTTTCATCTAGCTTGCCACAGTGCAATAACGGGTGACGCAGGGTGCCAGAATGCCTCTACATGCATCAAAAGATGCTTCTAGTCAATCCATTGGGCCTGCCTGGGAATTGCAATGAAGATGAGGACTTACAACCACTCCAGATGTGCATCTACACCCACATCAGCCACATGTGCTTATTACTATGCAGGTGACCCTGACTGGATCAGAGGAGTTAACTCTTGTCAGAGTCATATATGTAGTACACAGTCAAATGCCACAATGCTAATGGATATTTGCTTTCCAATGGACCATGATAATGCTTTCGATTTTACATTTTTTTGAAATTGATTTCTAATTAACATCTATTGCTATAATCCGAAGGAGAGAAAAAATATCAGCCCCTTGACACTGGTTTATATGCCCTGTTAACCATATCGGCTCAGATTACCATGCATTTTGAATAACAACTGATGACTGTTTTGTGAAAATTTGTATTTGCATTGCCCGTGTTTTTCCATACAGTAATATAATACAGATTCTATTTTCAAAATTTTATTTGGCTAAATAAGCAAAAGACATGGGGGCCACTAGGGGGCGCATTGGAAGATGGCCGTCAATACCATCTCTCCAACCCACACGGGGTAATTAAGAGGCTGTTATGGGAGTAGGCAGCCTCCCTTGTTGCCCCAAGGAAATGGGGAACACTGCCCTTGCCTGCTGTGCCCATAAATCATCCCCTAATTCGAAAGAAGGGGGTGAGGGCCCTAGGCAGAATGCCCCCGTGTGGACATCGGCTCTCCTGGACGCTGTCTCTGATCGCACACTAGTTGCAGCAATTTGGAATAATTAATTACAAAAGAAGCAAATGCACATATTTCAAGTGAAGAAGGGGAGTGAAGTCTGCTAATTTAAGTGACCTCTGCGAAAGAAGACGATGGGCTGGAGAAACAGGAATATTTTACGATGAAGATACACCAAAGGCGGGGTATGTTGACAACGGGGCTGAATGGGGGGGGGGAACCTTTTTTACTTTCCTTCTATGTGATTTACAAGAACCCCTCCTCATTAGAACCGTCGGTTGAACTGACCCAAGCAGGATGATTAAGGTCTGTGTGGAGATAAACTTTAACCAAAAGTATGCTTTATGGAGACCGAGAAGCAATAAGAGCTTTTGGGAATGGCGCAGCAATTAATTCGGAGTCGCCATCTTGCCAAAGGATTTACAGCCGGGAGGAAGAACGGATTTGTTTTCAGACTGCATTCCTAGTGAATCTCCTCAGAGGTTTTGAGAAAGGAGGCAGATTGGTGAAGATTAATGACGCTAAGACTGTTTTGATGTATGGAAGTGATGTTATATGGAAAACGTCTGGATATGGCTACTGGATAAAAAAATAATATCCACGCAGGATTACAAACTGTTCTAACCAGCTTGCGGAGACTATCAGAGGTCACAAAGAGAAAGGAAAAATATATGAAAATAACAACAAGAGATGTGGAAAAATAATAAGAAAGGACTGGATAGTACTGTGAACATCATAAGGTTAGATTTGTGGACATTAAAACAGCAGTAAGAAGCAAGAAGTTGATTGGATCCCTTCAGAACTTGAAATATGGGTACCCCCAACAAAAATTTAAAATTCGGCTGTGTAATTTGGAATTTATGTAATTTGGTTTGATTTGATGTGATTGGTCAGTTAATAAAAAATTATTCTTAAAATAAATAAATAAGCAAAAGACATAGTTAATAAGTACTGTGGTGCATAGGAGGGCACAGCGACCAAAAATTAAAAAAGGAAACTGCAAGAAATCCATGGATGTGTGGGGATGCAGAGGGATGAAATAAGCATCCTTTAGTGTGGTTCAATGAAACCCCCTCACTGATTAAAGCACATGAGAGGCAGTTGTGGTACTGTGTGGGCTCGCCCTATCCCCTACCACTAATGCAGACACATACCCTTCCATTTGTGCATTTGGCAAGCGGCTGAAACGGCCCCAAACACCTACTGATGTATCCATGTAGAGTACATTCACATGAGGGCAGTTGTGGTGGTCTAGGCTTCCTCCTGGGATGGAGGCACCCTATGCATATTCAGCGCTGCAGGAGGTCATGGACAGCAGGTGTAGTGGTGTGGGCGGGGCTAGCCACCATGGCTGTGCGTGATAGAAACACGAAACTGGATTCTGAATTAAAACTCTTTTATTTCTTCAATCTGAGGTGGCTATCATGAAGGTGAAACGTAAAGGATCTGCTGGGTCAAAGTACAAATAGAACACAGAGAGTTGCTTTATACCAAATCACTACACTGACTGGTAGTGGCTTTCAGACAGGGAACATTCCCTGCCCTGCCTAGAGATGCCAGGGAGTGAACTGGGACCCCAGCATGCACAGCAGATATTCGGCCACTGAACTATGCCCTTTCCCAAAGTTAATTCATCATCTGTTACTCTTTGTTCTGTTGTTTTTGTTGTGGTCTTTTCTTGAGCATCATGTGAAAGAAGACTGTGGACTATAGCTTGCTGAATCATGGCAATTCTTTGGGTTTTTGTTTTTTGGTTTTTTGCAGATGGTCTCACTGGTTGAGCCCCTCACCTTTGCCCTGCTCAGACTCCCAATAACATTCCATCCTTTGCTTCTTTAGGAGATTAATGCAAGAGTCTGATTTTTGTTCCACTCTGTGAAGTCAATAAGAAGTTCTGCCACAGACTTCAGCAAAAGCAGGGTCAGGCTCTGAATCATCCCACAGCCAAGGACAACTTTCTTTGAAGGGCTGTTTTCATGAGGCAAGTGAAAACTGTCTGCCAGCTTCCATATAACCAAGGGAGTGATTAAATCTTAAAAATATGCAGAAGTCAACGGTGGGGTTTTTCCCTGTTAAATCTCTTTATTTTTGCAGGGTATGGATAATACTTCCCAATTTAAAGACATGGGCTGTTTAAAAAACACACTGAGGAAATTTATTTAGGGTCTTGGTATTTTTGGAGTCATATTGGATGTGTACTCAAAACTAATGTCTCTCACGGGCGGTGGGATTGCTGCAGCCAACACACAACAGTGCATTGTGAGAAAATATCGGCTACTTTGAAAAGTTAAATATGACATCTATTCCATGATTCACAACTGTCCCATAAGTTTACAAATCCACTCTCTGAGTCCTGAAGTAACCAAATAAGGACTGAGAGATTCCCAAATGAAGGTTAGCGTCAATGTGAGGTGGTTGCAGCCAGCCCCGCTTTCTTGGCAGTTGCTGTGTGACCAGTAGCTCTGTGAGGCTGGCCCAAAGATAATTGTATATGTTACAAAACCGCTGCATATTATGGTTGCTCAAGAAAGGCTTGGCACGGTGACAGCAGGAATGTTGCATGTCAGGATTGATGTGATTTGGCAGGGACATATGGAGAAGCTTACACAATGCCTGCCCACCCTCTGTTCTGCTCATGCCAAAGAGGTTTTAGTCCCCCTCTGTCATGAGGGCTGAAATCACTCTTGAAAACACCGAATATACACTTAAAAATAGATGAAACCCTACCTCATTCTTCCTTCAGCCTGGAACCCAGCGGTTGATCTACAGTGCAAGGGAAGATCACGTTCAAATTCATGAAGCCACCACAGTTTGCCTCTCAGATGTCAGTTATGCGGTTGCGTGTTTGCGAAGGATGGCAGTCGTGGCTCCCCCACCCAAGCTGGAAGGAGGAATGGATTAGGCTAATTGGCAGGCAACAGTGGAGATGATGCAGGAGGAGCTGCCTCAAATGGTGAAACAGAGCACTGGACCAGTTGTCAAAGTGACTGGGACGCACTCATGTTATGATGAGGGTTCCAGCTGGGTGGGGATTGTTGGCCTGGTTGCCTGGGTGACTGGGATGCCCTTCCATACTGGGGAGTGGCTGAGGCGGCCACTCATGAAGTGTGAGATGTGGCAAGCTGAGGAGGTTTCCTACCAGAGCTTTATGTAGAGAGCCATCCAGTAAGCTCAGTCAAGAGGAGGAGCACTGGGGGAGGGGGGGAGAACCTTCCTTCAATCCACTGTCAGTGACCAAGAGGGCCTTGTCCTTGTCAGGAGCTCATCCTACACTTGAGTAGCACCCTGGTAGAGACACATGCCCAACTGGCATGTTCTCTCCCTCCTGGTCGATTGTTCGGGAGCTTCAAAAGCTTTCTTCAGCCCGAACATCACAGTGACCGATGCCAACAGACACCGGCACACTTAGGGATCCGCAGAGCATGTTAGCTAATCTACTTTATTTACATATATACACACACGGAGCACTGCAACATGGCTCCGTCTCTCTAGCATCAGACAGCAAAGAGAAAGAACAAAAGACAATAGTCCCACTTCACAGAACACAGTAACACAAACATCCTGTCTCCGTCACTTCCCACTTTGTGGAGTCAAAACATACACCGTCATGTGAAAGACAACAATCCCATGAATGCAATCATGGAGCAGGAATTCTAACAGTCCCGACAAATTGTAGGGATGGGAGGAATGAATCTGTCTATATTGGTTTCTCCCAATTTCTCAGTTTTCCACTCTGTAATTCAGTGCACCCCATTTCCATATCAGTTTGTGAATGTTTTTTCTTCTTTTTTAAAAAGTCTAGATGAAAAATTGTATGAATTTTCTTCCATATTTATTCTTATATACATTTTTGTATGCAATTTTGCCTAACAGCGCACATTTTTGCAAGCCATTTCCCCTCGCATGCATTTGTAATATTGTTGTCACTTAATATATGCTATTGTGTGAATTTTTGGTTGAGAGAGGACTGCATCAAAATATTCAGAGAAGTGTTTTGGCTGGCTCAGGACATACAAATTAGGTAGGTTCATATTACAACGATGGAAGGCAATGAAGCTCCAGGGCTTCTTTCACAAATTAAAAGTCTGAGTAAAATGAGCAGCTCCATAATATTTTTGCTTCTACTATTCATAAATAAAGATCAACCTGAATACTGAAACACTTTGGACAGCCTTCTCAATACCTGCATCTTATCTGTGGCTTGTCCCAAGCATATAGAAGCCATTGTAATGCTGATATGGCTAAGGGAAAGCAGGACTTGGAACTGTTTGAAACTGTAACATTCAGCACAATGGTTCTAGGTAGCACATGGACAAAATGACAGATACCCATGTGATGGTCCTGATTTGACCATGGTAAGTGAATGCCGTGGTAGCATCAAGGATGAGGTTGTAAGCTCCTGATTCTAGCTAAACACATTCATAGCTGAGGTGTAATTTGATCTTAGACAAACTGCTGATGGACTAATGGTAATTTCTTTGGGTAGGATTCTTGCAATTGCTAGACTTGAAGGACCTTGGTCTGAACCAGCAAGGCACATGGACTTAAGCAAGGGTTCATAGTTAGTATAGTTCAATGCAGATAAGCTATGCTTTAAATTTAAACTGTGTAGAGAGTCTGAATAGTCACTTCTTGCTTCTAAATTTGAAATATACCATGTATGAGCAACTGCATGAGTTTTTCTAGTTGGGAGGGACAAAGTAAAACACTGAAATGGGGAGCAGACTAGTTTCTCGCACAAAAGATGAGAAGTGTAGTGCATTTGGCCTCATCTCTCAAGTACTACAAAAGCTAGAAGGGTGTTCTGTTTTGCTTTTATCAAAGCAGGGAAACTGACCATTCTGGCTTCTTATTATTCACACACAAACCACAGATGCTCATGGTGCTATGGGAATTTGAGTCAGAGAAAGGAAATTTTGATGGTGCAAGACTGATGTCAGCCTAACAATATTGTACAGCCTCTTCAATCTCCACAGAGTGAAGGATAGCTCCCTTGTGATCTTGAACTCTACCTTCATGGTAAGTAGCAAAATATATGACCCAACAATTTTTCATGCCTATTTCCCCAGAATTTCCTTATTTGTGCTTGAGCCCTCCACAGGTGCTTCAACAGCAATTGCATTAAAACTTAATATTTCCTATTTCTCATTCTGACTAGCAAGCAAGCTTGCAATTTTTATTCTAAATTGCTGCACTGAGCTAATGCACATCTTAACCTTTAGTAACATTGGCCAAATTAAAGCACTGTTGACTATTGCAGTCAAGTTTCACAGGTTAAAAGGAGGGGTGAAGCTGGTTAAAATTTGAATTCCCTCTGCTTAAAAACCTACTGGCGGTTACCACTTTACTTAGCAATTCATCTCTTAGCAAATGGTAGTTTGACATCTCGTAATGTGACCAAGTAAGGCTATCATTATCACAGTTTGCTAATGGATTTATCCATCATTCTCAGTCAATTCTTTCAGAAAAGGATCCAAGAAAGTTTGCTTATACAGTTCTCAAAATGAAAGAGGACTTTGTATACAGATTTAGTCATTCACACACAGTAAGCATATCCTAATGGACAGGAACTTGACTTGGAATGTTAATTCCATTCTGCATAATTACTGAACTGAGCAATTGGGTGAATGTCATGACATAGAGGCTCAAATTGTTTCAGGTTTTTATTCTTTCCAGTGAAGAAAGAAGTCTGTTAATGTCAATGTTTGGCTATTTACCAAACTCTATGATAGGAATCAGCAAAAGAAATGATATAGATATAGATGATGGTCTGAAAGACTGTATTTCCTCACACGAACTTGCCCGTGCTATGAGATAGGAGACCTTCTCTCAGTCCTGCCATCCTCACAGACATGCTTGGTGAGGATGCAGGAGAGGGTCTTCTCAGTGGCTGTCCCCAAACTTTGGAACTTACTACTTAGAGAATTTAGACTGGCTCCCTTCTTGTTCTTCTGCTAGCAGCTGAAGACCATTCTATTACAACAGGCTTTTGGGAACTGAATGTATTTGAGGGAAGGGCCAATGCTGTGATGTTTTTATTGTTATTGTCTATGTTTAATGGATTTTTAATGCTATTTTAATTCTATTAGTGTAATTGTATTCTAATTCATTCATCTTCTATGTTTTATCTGTGTAAGACGCCTTGTGTTTTACACACACACACACTTTTTGTTCATTGGCCACCAGGATCATAAAGAATGAAATAAAATTATGATATAAAAGAACTCACTTTTTTCAGTTCCCTCACTCTTACAAATATTAAGTGCATGGGTACATTGCAATGAGAACCTCTCAAAGTGACTTACTTCCCTTCATTGCAGTCTTCCCTTCATTGCAGCTGGTGTTGGAATTTGCAGCAGCATCTGATGGAAGGGCTTTGTTACCAAAAACTGGGATTTCTTGGCTTCAGGGCACCACCACATAAGAGTACGGTGCTGGCTCAGCTGGCCTGTAATTTGTCAGTCTCTGGTCACTGTCTCTTCTGCCATTGTGGTCTTCACAACATGGTGGAGCTGAGCCATGGCTGGAACTAGAGTTCTGAGGCAATGAAGAAACTTCTGGAAAAACATGAAGGGCGTCCTAAGGGTCCTCTGTTGGCCAAGTGACAATAATTCTTCCACTTAGCCTGTGAACTAACTGATGTAATCTTATACTTCAAATATAATGGAGCATTTGCCACAGAATGTCTCACAATCTGAAATTCCAGATACAACTAATGTACATTCTGTGAGCAACTGTTTCCTTGTATGCAGACAACTAAATGGGATTGGAGCATACAGCTAGTTGACCCACAACTCATTCTCTCCCACTCTGTCCAGTACCTTATCTTTTCACAACCCACTTTCCTGACTTGACATTCTTAATCCCTCCCCCTTTCTCTTCTAGTTGATTTGATGATTAGAATCCTTTTCCAAGCTTAATTCAAACATGCAACAATAGTATGTGCTACCATCTGTCCAGGACCAGAATACAGATGTTTATTTGCACCTGGTCCGGCATCAGCATCAGACATTTTCATGCAATTATTGGTACCTCTGAGCCCCAAGAGTCCCCACTGGGACTGACATTGACATTCCACTTTTTTTTTGGTCTTGCTTTTTGTTTCTCTTCCTTCCTCATATGAACGTGCCTGGACTCTGAGATGGTCATCAGAGGCCCCTCTCTGTCTGCCATCGCCAAGGCAGGGTGAGAAGGTAGTAATGATAAAATGGAGCTTTTGTGTAGTAGCTCCCCATCTATGTACTGGCAGCCAGTGGAGTGAAGTGGTGTTCCTTACTTGGCTTCCCAATATGGAGGTTGCTGTTGGTATCAGAGAGTGAGAGGAGTAGGGATGAGGCAGCAGGAAGGTTATTGTGGTCCAGGCACAGTGGCAGGAGTAGTGGATTGGCCATCCCACACCATTCTGCCTCACTGGCTGCTACAACATCAAAAAATGGGGTGTGGGTGGTGGTGTGGTCTAAACAGTGTTTCCATGCGCTCTGGCCTCCTTCACAGTGTCCCGTTGCACCAGAAGCGGTTTAGTTATGCTGGCCACATGACCCAGAAAAGCTGTCTGTGGACAACTGCCAGTTCCCTTGACCTGAAAGTAGAAATGAGCACAGCACCCCATAGTCAAATTCAACTGGATTCAATTGTCCAGGAGTCCTTTACCTTTACAGCATCAATGGAATACTCTCCCCAGGAAAACCCACATGGCATCAGTTTTGCCCTACTTTTTTTAGTCTATGTTTTT